AAAAAGAAATCTTTTGAGAAAACCGTTTGGCTGGTATTTTCTCCAAGCAACGAAGTGAGGTCAGGATCACCAGCAAACTGGCCAGCAGGTGGTGCAAGAACTGATCAATTATCTATCTTTGTCTCCTTTCAAAAAACGATGCCGCTGAACCGTCATGGCCAGCTGTTGTACGACAGGAATCAGAAACTTTCCTATTTTTATCATTTCAACAATTTCAGCGATGGCGGATCGGTACGACGACGAATGGAAAACAACGACGAAATGGATCGGACTACATATCTTTTCTCGCGCTTCGGTACACATTGCGTTCATAAGTCTCCGCCGTTTATCACTGGATTGCTTGCACTCTTGTATGTATGATGAAGGTTACATTATCCAAGACTGAGGTAATGAACAATAGGAAGAGTGGACCCGCTACTGATTATTGCTAAACTACGATAAACGACTTTCAGCGCTTAGGATATTTACGCTGGTTGGACCGATCGAACTGACAGCAGTTGTAGTAATACTTGCTAGCAGTAAAATTCAAAATTCAAACACCTCATACTTGAAGACAACGAACCAGAGGAACAATAAATTTTGTTTTGGGGAAAAAGCGACCAGAGTAAAAAAGGAAACAAATCTTCCTCCACAACAACTTGTGTTTTATCTCTTAGAAGGCGATACGAGGGGAGGGGTAGGATCATCTGAAGGAGGCAGAATGATGCTGCAGCTTTTGGTAAGTGCGATTTTTAAAATTCTTTCTTATTCAGATGACAAAAGGTTACGCTGCTAAAGTATTGCAGCTGTAAGAAATATTAAAGTATTGCTGGCCGGACCAGTGCATACGGAGAAATATGGTCATCGAACCTTGTCCTTCTGTAGTTTAGTTCGACTTGCCCATTTTAATATTCGTTTATTATTTATTTCCATTTTCGTTCACTTTTATTGTTCCTGTTTTTTCTTATTTCTTTAAAACATTCAATGACGTAGTGTTTCTGTTACTGCCCGTTTGCTAATTGTGCTCGACCACTACTGCTGAAGCTTTTTTCGTGGATTTATTAATTCTTACTGGCAGTGTCTTATTGATTGGCA